CCACCAACCCCCGGGCGTTCGCTATTGATTTAAGGGAATTGCGAATCCACGAGCGGGTACACGCTCGGCTCTCTCAATTTCAATAAGCAATTGTAAGGAACGACCGTCACGACTCACCGGGGACTAGACCAGACCGAACACGGCCTAGCGTAATGCTCCAGCGTCTTTTCCCGGTTTCTTTCATTCCTCTCGTTAACTATGCAACGACGCTCGCTGGCAATATAGAAATCCCGTTTTCCCCGTCCGCGGGGGACCGTCCGCGTGTTACGATCGAGATACGGCGGGCATTTTGCAACCGGAGCGCTAAGGTAATTAAAAGAAAGAGGGACAAAGGAAGGAAAAAAAAGAAGGAGAACAAAGCAACAAGAACACAATCGTTTCAAGACGACGTATATAGCAGATCCCGCTCCATTTCCCCTTGTTCGAGAGTCACGAGATCGAGTCTCAAGTTCCACGGTTTTTCGCGCGTCGCAATGACGCACGGGAAGATAACTTCACTCTATAAACAGAGGCCGCTCCACTTTGTTAAGAAGTTTTCGCCTTGAGAACCGCTGATAAACCGAGCGTGAATCACGAGTATTTTTATTCGGTAGGATCAAAGGTTCTCGATACACTTGAACTTCAAAGCAGAGACATCTAACAAAGAGGATCCTTGCGGGTTTTCCCTCCAGATATCGTTTCCTCCCTTTCCAACAGCTGTTCAATTGCGGTGTACAGACTCATCATTCTACCCCCGTTTCACCGCCGCAAACAACGTCGAACCGAACGATCGTTTCCTCGATCGTCCACGTAAACCGGCTCCGAAACTGCACGGGTCAACAACTCACCCCGAAAAGACGAGCGATCGCAATCTCACGAAGAAGAACAACGAGAGTTCCTCCTCCTCATCCCCTTCGTCCTCTTCTCCGCAGAGGTAGAGGAGAAAAAAAAGAATGGATCGCGAGCAGAAAGGTTGAAAAGGAAGGAAGAAGATATTCAAGGATGATTTACCTCCGTCTCTTGGACTGTTGCACGTCTGTGTGGGTCTGTTGCATATGATGGGGCGATAGGGTGGGCCCGTAAGACAGAAGCTGACTTCCGGCGGTCGGGCAGGCCGGTGGGGGTGGCGGGGGCGGCGGAGCCAATTGGTAGCCCACCGAGGAAGCAGAGGGTATGTAATGCGACGGGCCCGCACCCGGGCCCAAGCCGACTCCATACCCGCCGCCGCCCGTCCCACCCCCGTACATACCACTGCCGCCGGGGTACTCTATTTTGCTGACCTCTCGGAGCCTCTGCTGAACCCTCTACAATCGTCCGCAAGCCGTTCGATCGACTTCCCGCACAGTTATCTCTTCATCTTGCCCGCTACATCCAGCGGCAACGAGAATGTCCTCGGTTTTCGGGTGGAATGATCTTTGTCACTGTCACTTTTGGGAGTTGTTTATGTTCTCAGAGGGGTCGATGGATCTAGTTTGTGTCCAGAGAAGAGTCTTAGATTATCTGCTCATATTGTACGGTTTATTAGAGAGGAAACTCTTCGTAAGATTTTGAACAGATTTTTTCACTCTTATGGGAAGTTTCGATGTTTCGTTTATATGCTGACGGACACTGATTAATCTACTTAATGTCCAGGAGAAAGATTAGTTTACATTATTCCTTCTTCGATACGTTCATTAACAATGGAGAAAATTTTCCTTCAACTCTTGGCACAGAATTCCTTTCCACTATCACAATGGGGGCACTTTCAGCGGTTTATATTTTGTAGAAGGTCGGAGAGCGTAGTTCATATTCTAAAGAACAAGCACAATCCCCGGTTACAATGGCTGTGATCCTGATCCCGATCCCGGCGACGATGGAGAAGTCATCCCCCGGTCGTGGACACTTGTTGATTCTAGGTAGAGGAACCTCGGCCGCTATCAATGCGGGAGCAAAGCCTCGATGGTTAACTTATGTTTCGTAGGAGATTCACGGGGCTGGTTGATGTTCGAGCGAGGAACAAGTGTCCTGATCCCCGGTTATCGGAAGATCTTGGGACTCGAGATGAGAAGATTGCTGAAGGAACGGCTGGATCTGATCGGTTCCGGCGATTCGGGGTTGAACAGTCTGATTTTGCGACGGTTCAATAAGCGGACATTCCCCGGGCGAATAATCTCTTTCCCGTATCTGAGGACGTTAACATAAACCCGAACAACTGTACCAGACAGAACAACGGTCGCGAAAACTTTATTCTATCATCCTTCGAAATACTTTCAGCCCTTTGTCCACTTAAGATTCACCGTTCTCTCAGAGACAACCAATTTCTAACAACTTTTCCCGATGATTTCAGTCTTCGGTCAACTTCTAGGAACATCTACACGGTATCAAGCAATTTAATGCGATATCGAAGCAGCTTTCATGGACACGAATGGTCTACAAGCAACTTGTTCCCAGTTTCTTCCACGAACGGGACAAGACTTCCTTTGAATCAGCCTCGAACGATCCCCTATTGGAATCCTGAAACCGTTCGTTCACCTTCCCCCGGTCTATCTTGTCATCTCGTTACCGGGCTTTACGCGAAGATCTATGCCCGATGAATCTCTGATACTTCGCACCCCGCGCACCACCACCGCGTTCGCGTTTCCGCCAGATATTCCAGACCTGTTGGCCGTAGATCCGCGGGGATT